TTCCTGGCTTCAAAGCAGAAGGCCCAGAGGTTGATGTGAACCTGCCCAAAGGAGATATTGATATCTCTGGTCCAGAGTTGGACATTGAAGGTCCTGAAGCAAAGAGGGGCCCTGAAATTGATATCAAAGGTCCCAAAGTTGATGTTGACCTTCCTGACGTTGAGCTGGAAGGCCCAGAGGGGAAGTTGAAGGGTCCCAAGTTCAAGATGCCTGAAATGCACTTCAAAACACCCAAAATCTCCATGCCAGACTTCGACCTGAACCTGAAAGGCCCCAAAGTGAAGGGAGATGTTGATGTCTCTGTCCCCAAGCTGGAAGGTGACCTGAGGGGCCCTGACATTGATATAAAAGGCCCCAAAGTCGATGTTGACCTTCCTGATGTTGAGCTGGAAGGCCCAGAGGGGAAGTTGAAAGGTCCCAAGTTCAAGATGCCCGAGATGCACTTCAAGACACCGAAAATCTCCATGCCCGATGTTGAATTTCATCTGAAGAGCCCCAAGTTGAAAGGGGATCTGGACGTGTCCATTCCCAAGCTGGAAGGTGACCTGAAGGGTCCTGAGGTTGACATCAAGGGCCCCAAAGTCGACATTGAGGCTCCTGATGTTGACATTCATGGCCCAGAGGGAAAATTCAAAATGCCCAAGTTCAAGATGCCCAAATTTGGGGTTCCTGGCTTCAAAGCAGAAGGCCCAGAGGTGGACGTGAACCTCCCGAAAGGGGATATCGAGGTGTCTGGTCCAGAGTTGGACATTGAAGGCCCAGAGGGGAAGGGGAAAGGCCCCAAGTTCAAGATGCCCGAGATGCACATCAAAACACCCAAAATCTCCATGCCCGACATCGACCTGAACCTGAAAGGCCCCAAGGTTAAGGGAGATGTGGATGTGTCCGTTCCCAAGCTGGAAGGTGACCTGAGGGGCCCTGAAATTGATATCAAAGGTCCCAAAGTTGATGTTGACCTTCCTGACGTTGAGCTGGAAGGCCCAGAGGGGAAGGTGAAAGGCCCCAAGTTCAAGATGCCCGAGATGCACATCAAAACACCCAAAATCTCCATGCCCGACATCGACCTGAACCTGAAAGGCCCCAAGGTTAAGGGAGATGTGGATGTGTCCGTTCCCAAGCTGGAAGGTGACCTGAAGGGCCCTGAAATTGATATCAAAGGCCCCAAACTTGATGTTGACCTTCCTGATGTTGAGCTGGAGGGTCCTGAAGGGAAGCTGAGGGGCCCCAAGTTCAAGATGCCTTCCATGAACATCAAAGCACCCAAAATCTCCATGCCCGATGTTGACTTTAATCTGAAGGGCCCCAAAGTGAAGGGAGATGTGGATGTGTCCGTCCCCAAGCTGGAAGGTGACCTGAGGGGCCCTGAAATTGATATCAAAGGTCCCAAAGTTGATGTTGACCTTCCTGACGTTGAGCTGGAAGGCCCAGAGGGGAAGTTGAAGGGTCCCAAGTTCAAGATGCCTGAAATGCACTTCAAAACACCCAAAATCTCCATGCCAGACTTCGACCTGAACCTGAAAGGCCCCAAAGTGAAGGGAGATGTTGATGTCTCTGTCCCCAAGCTGGAAGGTGACCTGAGGGGCCCTGACATTGATATAAAAGGCCCCAAAGTCGATGTTGACCTTCCTGATGTTGAGCTGGAAGGCCCAGAGGGGAAGTTGAAAGGTCCCAAGTTCAAGATGCCCGAGATGCACTTCAAGACACCGAAAATCTCCATGCCCGATGTTGAATTTCATCTGAAGAGCCCCAAGTTGAAAGGGGATCTGGACGTGTCCATTCCCAAGCTGGAAGGTGACCTGAAGGGTCCTGAGGTTGACATCAAGGGCCCCAAAGTCGACATTGAGGCTCCTGATGTTGACATTCATGGCCCAGAGGGAAAATTCAAAATGCCCAAGTTCAAGATGCCCAAATTTGGGATGCCGGGGGTGAAAGCAGAAGGCCCAGAGGTGGACGTGAACCTCCCAAAAGGAAACTTGGATGTTTCTGGTCCTAAAGTGGACATTGAAGGCCCAGAGTTGGACATTGAAGGCCCAGAGGGGAAGGTGAAAGGCCCCAAGTTCAAGATGCCCGAGATGCACATCAAGGCACCCAAAATCTCCATGCCTGACGTTGAATTCAATCTGAAGAGCCCCAAACTGAAGGGGGACGTGGATGTGTCCATTCCCAAGCTGGAAGGTGACCTGAAGGGTCCAGATATTGACATAAAAGCCCCCAAGGTTGACATTGAAGCACCCGAAGTGGACATCCACGGCCCAGAAGGTAAAGTTAAAATGCCCAAGTTCAAAATGCCCAAATTTGGGTTTTCTGGGTTGAAAGGAGAAGGCCCAGACATTGACGTGAATGTCCCCGAGGCCCACGTTGATATTTCAGGTCCAAAAGTTGATGTTGCCGTTCCTGACCTGGACATCGAAGGCCCCGAGGGAAAACTGAAGGGCCCTAAATTTAAGGCGCCCGACGTGCAATTCAACGTGCCCAAAATCTCCATGCCCGACATTGACTTGAATTTGAAAGGCCCCAAACTGAAAGGTGACGTTGATGACTCTCTTCCCAAAATCGAGAGCGAGCTGAAAGGTCCCAAGGTGGACATCAAAGGCCCTGAATTAGAGCTCGAGGGCCCAAAGCTTGACCTAGAGGGAAAAGCTAAAAAATCCAGGTTTAAGCTGCCCAGATTTGGCTTTTCTGGCCCTAAAATGCAAAGCCCTGATGTGGATGTGAAGCTTAAAAAACCTGACATCGAGGTATCTGGTCCAAAAGTCGATGTTCAGGCTCCGGATGTGGACATCCAGGCCAAATCGAAAGGGTCGAAATTTAAAATGCCCTTTCTGAGCATTTCTTCACCCAAAGTTTCGATGCCAGACGTGGAGCTCAACCTGAAGGGGCATAAAATGAAAGGGGAGTTGGATCTGTCCAGCCCCAAATTGGAGGGGGAGCTGAAAGGCCCCGATGTGGACATCAAAGGCCCCAAAGTCAACGTTGAGGCGCCCGACGTGGACATTCACGGCCCGGAGGGGAAACTCAAAATGCCCAAGTTCAAAATGCCCAAATTTGGGGTTCCTGGCTTCAAAGCTGAGGGCCCGGAGGTGGACGTGAACCTCCCGAAAGGAGAGCTGGATGTTTCGGGTCCCAAATTGGACATCGAAGGTCCCAGCTTGGACATTGAAGGCCCGGAGGGGAAGCTGAAGGGTCCCCATTTCAAGATGCCGGAAATGAACATCAAGGCCCCCAAAATCTCCATGCCCGACATCGACCTCAACCTGAAAGGCCCCAAAGTGAAGGGGGACGTGGACGTCGCCCTTCCCCAGGTGGATCTGAAGGGCCCGGATCTGAACGTGAAAGGACCGGAAGTGGACGTGGAGGTTCCTGACCTGGACATCGAAGGCCCCAAAGGGAAACTGAAAGCCCCCAAGTTCAAGATGCCCGAAATGAACATCAAAGCTCCCAATATTTCCATGCCGGACTTTGATTTGAATTTGAAAGGCCCCAAGGCCAAAGGAGGTGTGGACGTAGACCTCTCAGTGCCAAAACTGGAAGGGGACCTGAGCGTCCCAGACGTGGAGCTGAAAGGACCCAAGGTCGACATCGACACACCTGAGCTGGCGGTGGAAGGGCCGGACGGGAAGTGGAAAGGCCCCAAGTTCAAGATGCCTGAGATGCACATCAAGGCGCCCAAAATCTCCATGCCCGACGTTGACTTCAACCTGAAGGGCCCCAAACTGAAGGGAGATGTAGATGTGTCTGGTCCCAAGATCGAGGGTGACCTGAAGTGTCCTGAAGTTGACATCAAAGGCCCCAAGGTTGACATTGATGTTCCTGATGTGGACATTCATGGCCCAGAGGGGAAATTCAAAATGCCCAAGTTCAAGATGCCCAAATTTGGGATGCCGGGGGTAAAGGCAGAAGGCCCAGATGTTGATGTGAACCTGCCCACAGGAAATTTGGATGTTTCTGGTCCCAAAGTGGACATTGAGGGTCCAGAGTTGGACATTGAAGGCCCAGAAGGGAAGCTGAAGGGCCCCAAATTCAAGATGCCCGAGATGCACATCAAGACACCCAAAATCTCCATGCCCGACATCGATTTGAACCTGAAAGGCCCTAAAGTGAAGGGAGATGTGGATGTGTCCGTTCCCAAGCTGGAAGGTGACCTCAAGGGCCCTGAAATTGATATCAAAGGCCCCAAACTTGATGTTGACCTTCGTGATGTTGAGCTGGAAGGTCCAGAGGGGAAGCTGAAGGGCCCCAAGTTCAAGATGCCCGAGATGCATTTTAAGGCTCCGAAAATTTCAATGCCGGATTTTGATTTGAACCTGAAAGGCCCGAAAGTGAAGGGGGATGTGGACGTGAACGTGGCCGTGCCGTGTGTGGAAGGTGACCTGAAAGGGCCAAAAGTTGATGTGAAAGGTCCCGAGTTGGATGTTAGCGCCCCAGATCTTCAAATCGAGGGCCCAGAAGGAAAGGTGAAGGGTCCCAAATTTAAGATGCCCGAGATGCATTTCAAGACACCCAAAATCTCGATGCCAGACTTCGACCTCAACCTGAAAGGTCCCAAAGTGAAGGGGGACGTGGATGTTTCCGTTCCAAAACTTGAGAGTGATTTGAAAGGCCCTGAAATTGATATCAAAGGCCCTAAACTGGATGTTGACCTTCCTGAGTTGGCCTTCCTGATGTTGAGCTGGAAGGCCCAGAGGGGAAGGTGAAGGGTCCCAAGTTCAAGATGCCTGAGATGCACTTCAAGACACCCAAAATCTCCATGCCTGACATCGACCTGAACCTGAAAGGCCCCAAAGTGAAGGGAGATGTGGATGTGTCTGTTCCCAAGCTGGAAGGTGACTTGAAAGGTCCAGAGATTGATATTAAAGGTCCCAAAGTCAATGTTGACCTTCCTGATGTTGAGCTGGAGGGTCCTGAAGGGAAGTTGAAGGGCCCCAAATTTAAGATGCCTGAGATGCACATCAAGGCCCCCAAAATCTCCATGCCCGATGTTGACTTCAATCTGAAAGGCCCTAAGTTGAAAGGAGACGTGGATGTGTCTGTTCCCAAGCTGGAAGGTGACCTGAAGTGTCCCGATGTGGACATCAAGGGCCCCAAAGTTGACATTGATGTCCCAGATGTGGACATTCACGGCCCAGAGGGGAAATTCAAAATGCCCAAGTTCAAGATGCCCAAATTTGGGGTTCCTGGCTTCAAAGCAGAAGGCCCAGAGGTGGACGTGAACCTGCCCACAGGAAATTTGGATGTGTCTGGTCCCAAAGTGGACATTGAGGGTCCAGAGTTGGACACTGAAGGCCCAGAGGGGAAGGTGAAAGGTCCTAAATTCAAGATGCCCGAGATGCACATCAAGGCCCCCAAAATCTCCATGCCTGATGTTGACTTCAACCTGAAAGGCCCCAAACTGAAGGGAGATGTGGATGTGTCTGTCCCTAAGCTGGAAGGTGACTTGAAATGTCCTGATGTGGACATCAAAGGCCCCAAAGTTGACATTGAGGCACCAGATGTTGACATTCATGGCCCAGAGGGAAAATTCAAGCTGCCCAAGTTCAAGATGCCCAAATTTGGGATGCCGGGGGTGAAAGCAGAAGGCCCAGAGGTGGACGTGAACCTGCCCAAAGGAGATATCGATGTTTCCGGTCCCAAACTGGACATTGAGGGCCCAGAGTTGGACATTGAAGGCCCAGAGGGGAAGGTGAAGGGCCCCAAATTTAAGATGCCCGAGATGCACATCAAGGCCCCCAAAATCTCCATGCCTGACATCGACCTGAACCTGAAAGGCCCCAAAGTGAAGGGAGGAGTGGACGTGCATGTGCCAGGAGCCGAATGTGAGCTGAAAGGTCCAGAGGTCAACATCGGTTCTCCGAAATTAGACATAAACGCCCCAGATGTCGATATTGATGGTCCCGAGGGTAAATTTAAACTTCCAAAATTCAAAATGCCCAAATTTTCCATGCCAGGCTTTAAAACGGAGGGGGCGGATGTGGACGTGAACCTCCCGAAGGGGGACATCGAGATTTCGGGCCCCGGCATCGACGTGGAGGCTCCTGAGCTGAACGTGGAAGGGAAAGTCAAAGGTCCCAAATTTGCCATGCCCGAAATGCACGTGAAGGCTCCCAAAATCTCCCTCCCTGACGTCGACTTCAACATCAAGGGCCCTCAGCTCAAAGGAGACGTTGATGTTTCTGGGCCCAGGCTCGAAGGTGACCTGAAGGCCCCCAAAATAGACATTGACGCTCCCGACGTGACCATCGAGGGGCCGGAAGGGAAACTGAAAGGTCCCAAATTCAAGATGCCCGAAATGCACGTCAAGACGCCCCAAATCTCCATGCCTGACATCGACCTCAACCTGAAGGGCCCGAGGCTGAAGGGTGACGCTGACCTTCAGGGCCCGAAGCTCGAGGCGGGTCTGAAAGGCCCCGAATTTGACATGAAAGGCCCCAGAGTAGACATCGAGGGCCCAGATGTTGACGTCGATGGGCTGGAGGGAAAAGTGAAGCTGCCCAAAATGAAGATGCCCAAATTTGGGTTTAAGGGGGAAGGTCCCGACGTGGACGTGAACCTCCCAAAGGCAGAGGTGGAGCTCTCGGGCCCCAAGGTTGATATCGGCGTCCCCGAGGTGAGCGTTGAAGGCCCAGAGGGAAAACTGAAAGGTCCTAAACTGAAGATGCCAGAAATGCACGTGAACGTCCCCAAAATCTCGATGCCCGAGATAGACTTGAACTTGAAAGGCCACAAAACGAAGGGAGGGTTCGACATCTCAACCCCGAAGATGGAAGGCGGCTTCAAAGGTCCTGAAGTCGACATCAAAGGCCCTGAATTTGGAGTCAAAGGCCCCGAATTTGGAGTCAAAGGCCCCGAGGTCGACATCGAATGCCCCGACCTGAACATCGAAGGCCCGGAGGCGAACGTCAAAGTCCCCAAATTTAAGAAGCCGAAGTTTGGGTTTGGGATGAAAAGCCCGAAGGCGGAAATCAAAGCCCCGGGGGTGGAAGTGGATTTGCCCGAGGCGGAGCTGAACGTGGAGTCGCCCGACGTCGGCGTGGCCGGGAAGGGGAAGAAGAGCAAGTTCAAGATGCCGAAAATTCACATGAGCGGCCCCAAAGTGAAGGGGAAGAAAGGCGGCTTCGACGTGAACGTGGGCGGTGGGGACCTCGAGGCGAACCTGAAATCTCCCGAGCTGGACGTGAACGTGGCCGGTCCGGATGTGACCATCAAAGGTGACGCCGCGGTGAAGTCCCCCAAAGGGAAGAAACCCATGTTTGCGAAAATCTCCTTCCCGGATGTCGAATTTGACCTGAAATCGCATCGGTTTAGAGGCGACGCTTCCGTGACGGCCCCAAAAATCGAAGGGGAGCTTAAAGCGCCCGATTTGGAAGGCAAAGGCCCGGGTCTCAACGTGGACGTGGGAGCTGCTGACGTGAGCCTGAAGAAACCAAAACTGAACCTTTCCGGTGGGCAGGGGGGCGTGGGGGGCTTCAAAATGGAGGGCGACCTGAAAGGCCCCGCCATCGACGTCGCCGTTCCCTCCGTCCCGGTGCCGGACGTCGAATTTGGCGCAAAAGGACCAAAAGTGAAAGGCGAGGTCGGCGTTGCCGGCGCAGAACTGGAAGGGAAAGTGAAGTTGCCCAAAATGGGTCTGGAGATGCCGGATGTGAACATGGATGTTTCGGCCCCGGCCGTGGGGGGAAGCCTGGGGGGCGTCAACTTCAAAGGGCCCCAAATTTCCGGCCCCGATTTTGATGGAAACCTGAAAGGACCAAAACTAAAGGGAGATCTGGGGGGTTCGTGCTCCGTGGAAGGGCCAAGCCTCAGCGTGGAGGCGCCGGGCGTTGACGTGGGGGGGAAGCTGAAGTTGCCGAAATTTAAATCCCCCGCTCTGGAGGGGCCCGATTTGAGCGTGAAAGGAGGCGTCGACTGCTCCGTCCCAAAAATGGAGGTGGATGTGAAGGCCCCGGGTGCAAATCTCAACCTCGGCCTCCCCGGCGTCGACATCAGAGGGCCCTCGGTGGACGTTTCTGCCCCGGATTTGGACGTCGACCTGAAAGGACCAAAGTTGAAAGGAGATCTCGGCGTTAAATCCCCCAAAGCATCGACGGACGCCCCTGAATTTGAGATTTTGGGTGGCACCATCAAGCTCCCGTCCCTCAAACTGCCCCAGTTTAACATCTCCGGTCCCGGCGTGGATGGAGGCGTCGGTCTCGAAGGAGGCCTCAAGGCCTCGGGGGGCGGTGTGGGGTTGGAAGGCCCCGACGCCGAATGGAAAGGGCCCAAATTGCAAACGGCGGCAGCGGAC